TCTCTCCAACCAACATTTCAAAACAGGCATAGACTCAACACTAAAGTGAAAGTCTGCGTTGTAATATTTCTACAACCTGTCACTAAATGAAATTCACTAGTTGTCCGTCATATTGAAATTTTTGTATGAGTGACATTCAAAAATTTGGATGAAAAATGTAATTAAAAGCAAATATTTCCAAGTATAATTTTTCCCCAATGATCTAGTGGTTTTTTTTTCCATGTATTTCAAAAGAACAAATTCAGTTTCGGTTAACAATCAAATCATAACAAGTAAACAATTAATTTTGAGCACATTTTATAGAAAAAAAAGCATCGTTAGCAGTAAAATTATGCTTTTTGTAATTAATTTCAATACTAGTTAATATTATTAATTATTTATTAAATTTGATAATATTATTTCCTTTCCAGAGTTGTAAAAGACTTACATTATTAAATAATCTTATACTAAAAATTTATATAAAAACATTATACTAAACAAAGTTACACTATGAAATTCCCTTAAAGAAACAGTATCCTAAATGTACTTACCTTCTCTGTTTGCGATTCACAAAGATTGACATTTGTAAAGGCAGAAGCAATCATGATTACATGTGGGCAGCAAGCATCAAGTAGCAATTTCACTTTCAATGGCTCCCTAGAATGAAGTATGTATATATATCTCGGTATAAAAAAATCTCTGGGAACAATTCATGTTTGTCATTTCTTTCTTTCAGTTATTCTGTTCCACCCATTTATCAAAATGCTACTATATCAGGGATATAATATCATGAATATAATAATGCCTATAATGGCAAAATGCAAACTGAGAATATTCTTTCTTGCATAGCATCCCCATTGCCATGAAAATTACCACCACTTGAAAATGCCTAAAGTATAAGCTGAAAATGATCAGGATAAACACTTTGGACAATGTCTCTATAAACTAAGTCCTCAGAATAGAAAAATTCTAAGGACAAAAGAAAAACTGGATAAAAATATCTTATAAAATATTCCTTTAAAGAATCATAGATAAAAGAATGACTGTTGCCCAAATATATATTTTAATTAGTAGATATGGATCAATGTAAAAGTTTCTGAAAGCAACAAGAGGCAGAAAACTGTGAAGAGGACATGGCATATAAAAGAAATTACACTATATGTATATACTGGCTTAAATGCTGCCCTATCATGCAGCATTAAGCTAAGTCCTGCAAAGGGCTCTTAATTGGGCCTTGATCATAATATCTAGGGAGGAGTAGATGTGATAGGCAACAATAAACTACAGAACTCAAAATTGATTGCTGTATTTAATTGCCACTTAATTTAAAGACAATTTGATGTACATAGGTCCTTACTTTCCATACAAATAATTATTTTTGTTTCATGATTGACTTTTGCTTTTTTAATTTCGATTATTCTCAAATTCATTTCCAAGAAATGTTATTGTATAAAAAAAATTGTTGCAAGAAATCATGAAAAAAAAATTGACAAATACAATCACAGTAATGAAAACTTGGGAATCCAAAATTTCAGGATTGTGATTCTGGATCCAACATGGAATGTTTTTAATTTGCCCATAGATTCGGCCTGATTCCAAAATGGTATGATATGTTGGGCTCTGGCCTCTAGGGGTAAAGTTGAAAAAGTGTGACACAGTGACACACTGATATGTGAATTTATTATATGGGTGAGAGATTGCTGAAAATTTTCTTTGACCAGTCTACACCCTCAGATTTAATGAAATGACTAGAAAAAGATTTATTTTAAGGATTTCTTGATTGAGCCAAGTACTTTTTAGTATAAGCTTGTATTAAAAATTACAACATTTGAAACATAACTGTTACTGCCTACCCAATAACCTTTATGATAATGCAATAGACCATCTACCCATAATGCACCTCTGACCAGCATATATAAATAGCCAAGGCAAGACACAACATACATGGCTTGAAATTGCTTTTAAGCATGAAAAAGACTTTTGCCACTGGACGTTTTCCTCAATGTCCACTTTCATATATATATATATATATATATATATATATATATATATATATATGCTACAGCTAAAAAATTTGAAGCTACCCCAGAATTAGCACGGTATGAACTTGACAGGAAAGTGAAAACAAATTGAAAAAAGCTCTTTAATCATTTCTAAGATTCAACCAATTATTAAACTTATACTTCGAGAAACTTTTGCAATGAATGGCAAAAATCAGTGCTGAGAATCAAGGCTAAAGAAGGATATTTTGATGAGAGCAAAATTTAACCATAAAATTCTTTTTTTTTTCTTTTTGCCATAATAAAATTTATCATGATAAAATAATAATTTTATAATAATAATAATATAATAAAATAATTTGCCATAATAAAATAATAAAACAAAACAATATCTGTCTATATTTCTGAGATGAGGTATTATGTACACTATTTACATTATTCAGACTATTGTCCTCATCTTTGTCACCATATTTATTACAATGTTTCGGCCTTTTAGTAATTGTCTATATTTCTGAGATGAGGTATTATGTACACTATTTACATTATTCAGACTATTGTCCTCATTTTGTCGCCATATTTATTACAACGACTTTCAGTATCTGTCTATATTTCTGAGATGAGGTTTATGTATACTATTTACATTATTCAGACTATTGTCCTCATCTTTGTCAATGTTTTTACAATGTTTTTTTAGTAATTGTCTATATTTCTGAGATGAGGTATTATGTACACTATTTACATTATTCAGACTATTGTCCTCATCTTTTGTCGCCATATTTATTACAACGTTTCGCCCTTTCAGTATCTGTCTATATTTCTGAGATGAGGTATTATGTACACTATTTACATTATTCAGACTATTGTCCTCATCTTTGTCGCCATATTTATTACAACGCTTCGGCCTTTTCAGTATCTGTCTATATTTATTATGAATGTATACTATTTACATTATTCAGACTATTGTCCTCATCTTTGTTGCCATATTTATTACAATGTTTCGGCCTTTCAGTATCTGTCTATATTTCTGAGATGAGGTATTATGTACACTATTTACATTATTCGGACTATTGTCCTCACCTTTGTTGCCATATTTATTACAATGTTTCGGCCGTTGTACGCTCCGGCCTTCTTCAGGTGGTTGGAATGTCGAACTGAACCCTTTATTTCGCTCACTGGGGTAGACTGTTCTAGTTCCACGTGCCATGTTTAATGGATGTCAGTTGTGAGTTATCTCCTGTTAATTCCCCTCTCCAAGTTCTCCACTGCCTGAACCGGGTATTGAACTCACAGTCTTTGGGTCCTGTCACCTTTATCCACTGTGCCATTTGTCCTTGAGGATAAAACAACTACTTTTTGGGTCAATTTTAAAAATTACCTGGGGGCACCTAAAACTTTTGAACAGTACTGTATATAATGCATAAAATATTGTGCAGTAGCATCAACCTAAAATATTGCAGTTGATCATCATGACAGAGGTTGTTATTTCTTTTTGAACATGTAGCAAACAATCTGAACGGAAAATAAAATTATTTTCTGATTCCAGATTCTAAAATTCTCTGATATTCTTGTTTATTGTAATATTGTATACCATAGTCACAAGAAACGTCATCAGGGTGTGGAATTAATGATATAATTACATTCCCAGCAAATATCAAGTTTTATGCAATTTAGATTTGCTTCAGAAAATGCATATTTCCTTTGGCTAGAGTGTTTTAAATGCGTATAAAGTGAACAATAAGTTTTCTTTTGGTTTTATTTTTCGATATTTATTGAAGTGCTCCAATTTCAGCAGAAGGCCACACATTCAAGAAACACCCAGTGAAAAAGGAATTTATCATCAAAGGCCTACCAGATTATTATGCTCTTCAACATGGGAACTATACTGATCATAATCTGTAGGTATCTGTGAGACAAAGCCAACACAATTTTGGCAGAAGGACAAATTTATAGAGCAATCAGTGAGAAACAAACTCAGCGGGCATGATTTAGAAACTTATACATAAACCAAAGTACAACAGTAATTGCTGAAAACCTCCTAAAAAAGTCTGTGTGTGTGCATATATCTATTGCTCTTCAATGAATTGAGCTTTCCGGGTCACTGGCGTATTTCGTATAGAAACGTTAAAATTTCCCTTTTCTCTCTGCCATGTGATGATAGCTGAGAGGTAGGATCTCTGACTGATGCCAAAATTGGTCGGGTTTTGATCCTGGCTTGAAGCTACACTGAAGAGCTGTGATACAGCAAAATGGTCTGTCTGTGGATGACAATATATATATATATATATATATATATATATATATATATATTATTGTCAGCTGTAAATGTACCTCATAACACCCTCAAGTGCTTAGCCTTGGAGCGGGTAGAATGGAGATCAGCATGTTTTAGTGGACTCAGCAGTTTTCAATCAGCTTGTTTGAATCATCTTCAAGAAGCAGGAGAAAGATCTAAAAGGTCAGCCAATCTAACAGTGATCTCATCCCCAAATCCTTACTCTTGCTCCATATGCAGCCTCCTTTATAGATCATTAGTGGGTCTTACATGCCACTTAAGATTATCATACAAAATTTTGTAACTGAATCAATTAAGTTGTCAGATCCTCATACGTCGAAACCAAGATAACTATGTATTTTTATATATCAAGAATAATATTGGGGAAAATGTATGACAAAGTAGGAAAAATTTTCTTGTGATGTGTTTTGTCCTTCAGAACTTCATTGAACTAAATTTGTCATTTTGTTATGACTACACATGTGCCTGAATGAGGCTTGCTGGGGATTTTAGAAATTTTTAGAAATCTCTAGAATTTAAAAAAAAATTTATATCTAGCCAAATTCATTTAGAGTCTTTTTCTTTCCATAATTTTTGTTAATATATATCCCACACTGAGATTACAGAAGATCTGCCAGGAATGGTGAAATGTTATAAGAGCCATAGTGCAAATTTATTTGTGATAAAGATACTCTCTAGACATTTATATAGTAGTGAATTGTTTTCTCCTTTGATTAGAGTAGGAGGGAATGCATCACAAGTAAAAAATTGTCCACTTTATTTTTATAAGATAATATTATCAATTCAATAATACCAAAATCCACAATCTTTGTCTACTCTGGCATTGGGCTCTTAGTTTATTTTATATTTTAAGCTTTTAGCTTTTATTCTTATCTATCTATCTATCTATCTATCTATCTATCTATCTATCTATACCATGTGTAACAGCAAAATTGTCCAAATCATGTAACAGTAAAATTGTCCATTTGTTAGATTGAGCTTTGAACCACAGTATCTTAGAAATGATTAAAGATATCTTGGAATTCTTGGAGATTTTTATAACACTATTGGACTCTACTTTGCGCTATAAGAATGTATAATTACTTTCCAAGCTTAACATAAGAATTGTGATGAAATTGATCATAAATGAAATGACACCTTCATTATTAATTAATCATAGCTAAAGATTTGGAAGCTCATGATGGATTAAAATAAAGATCAAATATATATATATATATATATATATATATATATATATATATATATATATATATATATATATATATAATCTTGAATTGAATAAGTTGAAAATGATATATATAATCATATATATATATATATATATATTATTACAAACCCTATGTTTGGCACCATGCCACACAAGCTGGAAACTCCAGTCATGGCTGTCAGATAATTTCTGCAACCACATCACCCCCTTACATGCGGCCACCTAACTCCCCAGACTTCAACCCTCTTGATTGTTATCTGTGGGGTGCAGTTGAGTGAGAGACCAACAAAACTCCTTTTAACACCAAAGATGAACTGAAGGCAAGAATTATGGCAGCATTCACTGACTTAAACAAGGAGACCATCCAGAGGAGATGCAGGAGATTCCAAAGTCCTCTGGAGGTCATGATTTTATTGAATAAGTGTACTCTTCAGTATTTCAAATTATTTTTGTATAATTTTGGTAAATATATATGTTAAAATAAGATGTCAGTGTTACTGCATAATTTAGATGACAATTTATCTATTGCACACTGTAAAAAGCTGTTATATCTATTGTCAACCTTGACAGAGGTGATGAAGAATAAATAACTGAATATATCTGTTATGCCTAGTGTTTCTTGTGGTCGGTGCATTTTTCATCTTGTAAAATCTGTGTTTACCCGCAATAGTTTACACCTTAGGTCTCCAAGAATTTAATTCCACCAATCAATAAACACTCGACGAGAAACCTTCTCTACTGTAAGTACCAATTCTTTGAGAGATTGAGAACATAAACATTCTGTGTGAACGGTGACCACTGGAAGTGCCATTTTGTGGCTGCCAAAGTAGACACTTGGACAGCATAATGGCTTTGGAAGGTTTGAATTAAAGCTTCCAAATTGGTCAGCAACGGTCAGTTATTGAGTGAAGAGAAATGCCATGAACTGTAAAAGATGAAAAAGTAAAGGAATAAAAACTCTGAATTCTAGTTTGAATAAAACCACACAACGCAACCCCACTTGATGCATCGTCCAGCAGATTACTGATCAAGGGGCAATAATCCAGAAAAATATATTGCTTGATGGCAACCATAGAAAATGGCAAGACTCTATTTTAGAAAAGCTGGGGAATAAACTCTAAATTCAGATAAAATAATATTTTTAAAACTCCATAAGCTGTACCAATCTTACAAGTTAGGAGAACCTGATTGCTGATTTTAAAAATCATTTTCCAAATATTTTACTTGTGTACCAACCATTATGGATTCATTGATTCATTTGTTTTTTTATGACTTATCAACCCTTTGCAGGTTATTTAAAGCTAGAAAACATTTCTAGATTGTAAGAATTCTTTTGGCACTAATAATGATTTACTGATATATGTTCTACTATTTAACGCATAGCTAGTTGAGAGATGAAGTGGGTTCATGCCTTTCCCAAGGGTATTTACGCATAAGTGAATATAAAGAACTCAACTGGAAGTCAGAAGCTGAGTTCCAACTTACAATTTCAAGCAGTTATCCATAACACAACTTTCACATCCAAACTTACAGCACCTGGTATTCAAGAGTGGTTACCCACCTAGATACTGACCAGGTTTGACATTGCTTAACTTTGAAAGAGTATGTAACAAACATAGCTACATAACATGGAATATATAGATGATAGACACACATTGTCTTTGATGAATAATGGTCCAGCAGCTCAGTTCTGACAACTGAATAGTCAGACTATCTAAACATGAGTTGATTATTTTGGTGAAGTCTTGTGCAGAACCCACCAAACTTTTTTTTAACAACCAAATACAGAGAACTGGTGCTCATAGTGTGTAACAAGGTCTCTAAGCAACCCACATCTGGTTGAGTTGTCCTTCTCATAGACTGATTTTCAACTAAGGTTAAAGAGCACCATCTGTACTATTTAACCCACAACTAGGGAGAAGGGAAAAGATGAATTCATACTGTTCTCAAGGGTATTTTTTTCTTTTTTTTTTTCTTTAAGCATTTCACCCCAAGCAAGGCGGGAAGCCACTAGGACGCAAGGGGTTACAGAAAGTTTAGAGCAAGATCAGATAGGAGTGATAGAAGAAAGGATGAAGAGAAGGGTAGTGGATAGATCAAGGCAACTGGAGATGTCGATTGACATTACACTTGAATAGCTGGAGATTATAGCTCACAGGGAAACAGGAATAGGGAAGGGAGTTCCACAGGCGAGAGGTGCGAGACATGAAGCTATTAGAGTAGAAGGGACGGCTACATTTAGGAGTTTCGACAGTGAAGGGGTGAGAGTGGGATGCCAACCTCATAGGGCACTTGAACTCATGACATCTGGGAACCAGCAAATGCAGCTCCTCGGAACAATTTCCATGAAAGTATTTGTAGAACAGACAGAGGGAGGCGATGGCGTGTCTGTGAGAAAGTGACTGTAGATGAGATGCCAGGGCAGGGCCAACTACATTGCATATCCGCCTCTGGAGCCTATCAAGAACCCCGAGGCAAACTGAAGTGATGAGACAATACCAATATTTTTACCGATTCCGATACAATTCTCAATACAGTTTTAAATTTTCAATTCCAATAAAATTCCTGATTTTGAATCCAATACCTACAAGAACACAGTAGAGTAATGGATAGTTGCTTGGATAGAGCTGAGCTTGAATTCCAGTTGAATCCATTACATTCACTTACATACTAATACCCTTGGAAAAGGTATGAATCCTCTTCTTCTCCCTGCCAGCTATGGGTAAATAGCAGGGCAGACCAGGTCTATAGCCTTGGTTGGCAACTGGTCTACTGCAGAAAAAAATGGCAACCTACTGCAGAAAAAAAATCTGCCTTGTCAGTCATGTATCGAAAGATACATGATCGCCTAAGCGTGTATCATGCATGGCATATAACTGACTGAAATTCACTTATGTGCTAATACCCTTGAGAAAGGTATGACTACTCTTCTTCTTCCCCCAGCTATGGGTAAATAGCAGGACAGTCCAGGTTCTATTGCCTTAGATGGCAACTGGTCTACTGCAGAAAGAAATGCCAACCTATTGCGGAAAAAAAATCTGCCTCGTCAGTCATGTATTGAAAGATACGTGTATTATGCATGGCACATAACTGACTGGAATTCTCTTATGTGCTAATACCCTTGGGAAAAGTATGAACCCTCTTCTTCTCCCTGCCAGCTATGGGTAAATAGCAGAACAGGCAGGGTTCTATAGACTTGGATAGCAACTGGTCTATTGTAGAAAAAATTGGCAACCTACTGCAGGAAAAAAAAATCTGCCTCGTCAGTCATGTATCAAAAGATACATGATCGCCTAAGTGTGTATCATGCATGGCACATAACTGATTGAATGACAATGATTAAAATTTATTATTTTTAGGCCCTACAATTAGTTTGGAAAATTTAATGAACAAAGTATATTTATTAATAAAACATTTAGTAGAAAAATGAATACAAAAGCTTATGAAATAAAGTTAGATATCCTTTTTATTTAAAAAATTGAGCCAGACTTTAAATAATAATGGGAACAATTTCTTTGCATAGATCACTTAAGAAAATACCTAACTAGAGTTGATATAGTGCTTTACTTTGATTATCATCTGAAATCTTAAAAACTTCTATTAGGTTAAAATTCTCCGATTCTGATACCCCAAAAAGTCCCGATATTTCTCATTCTTGATTCAGATTAATCATCCCATCATTAGTATTTATGCTTATGTAATGAACTCAACCAGTATTCATATGATTCCTTCGTTACATAAGAGTTCTCATGTTTCAAAAACGAGAGCCGAAACCATCAATATAATTATTAAAATTAAATTGAATTAAAGTAACAAGTTTCATCCTCTAGCGAAAATTTTCTTCTTCTCTAATTTTAATAATTATATTGATGGTTTCAGCTCTTGTTTTTGAAACATGAGAACTCTTATGCAGTGAAGGAGTCATATTTTTAAAAAAATAATTATAATCTAAGCTCTACTTTTGTATGGAGCACTGTTTTTTAAAAATAAAAACAAAAATACTAAAGGACCCTGGATTATTTACCTAATGTGTTCTTTCCTATTTTTCTACATAACTGCACACACACAAACACACACATATATATATATATTTTTTTTTTATGAGAAAGAAGTATGACAAAATAGAAAAAAATTTGTCCTTTATGACTTTATCAGACAAAGTTTATGTTGAATGTTCCACCATTCTTGGCATAGAAATTAAGGTTACATTTAGCCAGTTCTACTGTATACAGAGATGAGACCTTGTTGCTAATCTAGTACAGCACTTAAAGTCTAGGTAGGAGTAATGGATAGTGGCTCAGATTGAGAAATCAGAGAGCCAAGTTCTAATTCCAGTTGAATCCATTACATTCACTTATGTGCTAATACCCCTGAAAAAGGTATGAATCCTCTTCTTCTCCTCCCACCTATGGGTAAATATCAGGACAGACCGGGTTCTATAGACTTGGATGGCAACTGGTCTACTGCAGAAAGAAATGGCAACCTACTGTGTGAAAAAATCTGCCTTGTCAGTCATGTATTGAAAAATAAAACATGTATCAAAAATGTAACAGCAGAGAGGTCATTTGAACAATTACCATGAAAGTATTTATAGAAAAGGCAGGAAAGCTACAGCTTGCGTCACAGGAATTGAACCTGTATCCTAGATGGAACCATGCATGTTCAATAAGTATTATACAGGTTCGATTCCTGTTAGAAGACACATATTTTC